ATCTGTGTGAGGGGTAATCAATGTAGACTTGCATCTTTAAGAAGCTAATGACATTATTGGGAGTTTATGATGTTGAGTCAGGCATGCATAGCATATTGTGTCTGAGAGTATCTCTAGAATGTTATGTTGGATTAATTAAATATTTCCTGGATTTAGTCTTGTACATTGCTGGGGACAGCAACGTTTAAATCTGAGAATGGTTTGATGTGCCTCTGGCAAGTGTGGTTTTTCCATATTAAAATTGATAAGAATTGATTCATAAAAGAGCAACTTAAATACATATTTGCTAATTATATTGATTCTTTATTTTCAATTATATTTCTCACCTATTGGTTGTGTTTTTACAGGAAAAAGAAGCGAAAATTATAAAAACATGTTAACACAATTCCACACGGTGCAACACACTACAAGTTCCAGTAATATGGCGCGGAATGGCGGCACACTGGCGCACACCCGCGCCAGTTTTCGGATTTCACAGCAGTGTTTTGCAAGTGGCGCCAACCGGCGCCAATTCCATGTTGCTTAGCGCCAAACTCATGCTAAGTGGCGCCAAAGTAAAGTAAAAGTGGCGTAAACCAGCGCCCAAAATGACAAGAAAGTTGGCGCCAACTGGCGCCAAGTCACGAGCATTCGGTTCCGGCTTTTCATTTTAAGACAGTAGCGCGGCGCGAAGTGGCGCTGGGTTGCGGGAAAATAATACCGTGTTGCCGTGGGGGTATTTTTGGAAGGAAGAAAATAGGATTATAAATAGGATCCATATGACAGAATTAGGTATTCAGACCTATTCTTCTGAAGAGAGACGACGACGGTGCTCAGAGAGGATTCCTGGGATCAAGTTCTTCTTCTCATTTCTCCTTAATTTTATGCTTTTGAATATTGGATTATTTTTAGCCATGATTATGCTTGGCTAGTTATCTTTTATTGTAGTTAGGGTCACGAACCCTATGTAAACCCTTGTTACGATGGATTGATTTAGTTTTACTCATTTATATAATTATCTTTGTCTCTACCTTGTGCGTATTTTCTATTTTCTTTATTAGAACTGATCAATCTGATAGTTGAGAATAGTTTGAGGGTTAGAACCCTAGATAGGAATATTGAGATTTTAATCTTGAAAGGGGGTAGGATAACAATTGGTATGCATGCTATGAATAGATGTGTATTTAATTGCGGATGCTTAAATTATTGTGTTCATTGCTTAATACCATGACGAACATTGCAAGGAATTGGGGATTAAAGAGTTAACCTTGCAAGGAATTGAGGGTTAACTAATAAATATTCTTAGATAATAATTTATCCGAGTAATTATATGAATAAGTATTTTGAATCAATCCAAAGTAAGAAGTGGGGATCATAAGGTGAGTGCGCTCTAGCTACAATGTCTTTCTCATATTTTTAAAATCAATTCTCGTTGTTATTGTTTTATTTCTCTTAAATAAAAATTCAAAAACAAGTCTTTACTTTTATATTTTATTGTTACTCAAAATCAATTCGCAATTTTTTCAAACAACAAACCGAGTTTTCCAACTTAAGGGGACTGGTTATTGTAGTACTTGGTTTACAATCCCTGTGGAGACGATACTCTACTTACTTTCTATATTACTTGTGCGATCGGTATACTTGCCGGAGAGCATCAATTTTCAAGTTTAATTGTGAGATAAGATGCAGATGAGGTTAAGAAAGAGTTTCCAACATGTTGAATATGCATACTTGCACCATTGCCAATGTGGACTTGCTCAGAGCCATTGTACTCAGAGCTAGAAAAGAGATTACCAAGATCATAGGTGAGATGATGAGTGGTTCCAGAATCTAGATACCAAGAGTTATCTGTGAGGGATGCAGGTCCTACTATATAGGCCTTTGGATTATGAAAGGAATGAGGTGGAGGTGGAGGTGGAGGAGGATTTTGATTCTGATTGTTTTGAGATGATGGTTGGTAGTTGGAATCAAATCTGTAGTAGCATTTTAAAGCAGGATGACCTGTTCTTCCACAGATTTGGCATTGCTGTCGATTCTGATTCCAAAATTGGCCTTGAGTTCTACCACCTCTAAATCCACGACCTCCTCTGCCTCTTCTTCCTCCAAAGGTTCTTCCTTCATTGCTGTTAAATTTGTTGTCCTGCTGTATGTTGCTCTGTGTGACATTAGCTTGAATTGGTGTAGGATCATTCTTTTTGAATCTTTCCAGCATTTCCTCTTGAGCAAGAAGGAATGCTTCCAATTCGATTATTAAAAAAGGTGGAGATCTTGACATAGCAGAAGTGATTAAAGGTGTATACTCTTCACTCAATCCATCAAGAATTGCTTCTGAATACTCAGCATCTGTTATTGGAGAACCTACAGCTCCCAAAGAATCAACAATCTTTTTAATTTGAAGAAGATATTCTGATGTTGGTCCTTTCTTTTTGATGGATTTCAACTGGTTTTTGAGTTGTTTGACTTTTGCTTGTGTGTGAGAAGCAAAGTAAACTTGAAGTCTTGTCCAGATTTCATGAGCGAACCTGCATCCCACCATCCTGTTCTTGAATGATATGTTCATAGAGGAGAGTAGCCAAGATACAAGAAGATGGTCTTGTTGGTGCCAGGTTGCATAGTCTTCAGATTCTTTTTCATTTTCTTGATCTGATTGGGTTGCAAATCGAACAAGAATCTTTTCTTTGTTGAGATGATTCTGCAGGTTGTACCCATGGATTGATGCAAGAGCAAGTTGTTCCCAGGGAAGAAAGCTTTCTTCATCGAGTTTATCAACAATCGGGTTTGAAAAAGATTTCATGATGAGCTTCACTGATTTTGCGATTTCAGTGCTTGTAGAGGACTTTGGTGAAGATTGAGGTGACTCCATGGATCGTTGTTGGCTTTGATACCATGTGAGGTATCAGACTATGAATATGAAAGGAATTCACACACAGTGTGAAGAGAAAAACAAATGAATAGTAAAAGAGATTGAATGAATACTTTGTATATTGATCACTTGAAATGATACATGAGTGCTGCTATATATAGCAGATGAGAAACTAATTAATAACAGAAATAACAGTCTTTAACTAACTTTAACTAATCTTTATCTATTATGGTGGAGCCCACAAGTTTATCTCTATGACATGAGATAACTTATCTCCTTTAACATGAGATTAATAAAACCCAAAAATATATTACTAAACTAAGGTTTTGGGTTAAGCATTTTGTTTGGGCTTAGAGATAGCCAGATAAAGAGAGGTCACACAATACGCTAAAAAAAGCATGCCCTGGACATTCTTTCACACACTAGCTTATTTATTAGCTTCAACTCCTATGCAAAGCAATCTAAACTCAAAACAGCAATGGGGGAGTCTTACTACAAAAGACTAATTGGACAATACTTTTGTTTAACTTCTATGATACTTGATATATCTTTTGCTATCCAGCAACATAGACAATAATTGTGCAATCCCATGATGCATCACCAGATACATCAATAAGGCTCTCCCAACTAATGAATAAGTTAACCTCTCCCTTTGAACTTCATTTTTAACCAAGAAAAGTCTGATGAAAGTGAATAAGAAATGAATTTTGCTTCAAATTATATTGATTTTAAGTAAGACTTGGAAACTTTTTAAATAGATTGCACAAGGACATCAAATTTTTTTAGACATGTCTTTTTGTTTTGATTTCAAAAAGTAGAATGAGTTGCAATTGGTAAGCTTAATAATCTAGTACAACAAAATCTCACGTAGAAAGACTAATTCAACGAGAACTTACAAATGGATAAAATTAAAGAACAAGTAAAACATGAAAACAACAACATACCTCTCCCACTGCTTTCGTTATAAATATTATATCCTATAAGCTGATATAAATCTAACCATAAAAGGGAAGGCAACGTGCAAAGGCAGAAAGTAAGTAAAAGGTGATTCCTGCAACTCCATCTTCCCAAATCTGTAAAGGAACTTGCAAACTCTTACGCTCTTGAAACATCTATGTGCAATTTAAATAATAGTTTCTTTCCTATAAGTACAATGTTGAATCCAAACTCTTGAAAGTAGCATAAGAAACCTGCAGAAAAGGTCAACAAAGATGACCAAAGAGTATAAACCATAATTATATTTTATGAACAAAGGCAGCAAAAGAAGGGAAGCTAATAGCACTAAGCAATGCCAATCATTGCAAATAGCTAAAACTAATAACTAAAGGAAGCATTTAATTTAGCCGTAGAATAGCACACATCACCTCTACAGATGGGACACAAAAGTTCATGGGATTTCAAGTCCCAAATAGAGAAGACTTAACCATGAATATGTCCATAAAATAAATACTCCATGTTAGTGGTTGATCTCTCTGGTAACATAGCCATGCATAATCAGAATTATACAAATCCACTCTAGAGATTCATGATACTAGTACGACCATTTAAACCACAGCAATCATTTATAAGAAGTTAATACCAATTCTCAAAGTATAACTTGATGGGAAAAAATCTACAGATTAAAAAAAAATCTTCAGAGACCGGGCCTGGAAATGCGTGAACTTGCTGCAGTCATATTACCTTTATCATCTATTTCCAGACAGAGTACATACAGGAAAGAATAATCACTGCATTACTAAGATGCCTAAAAATTGAGAGTTGTTAAAGCAAGTACATCTTAATATCTTACCATGTAATCACAATAATAAGCAGCTAATATCATATTCTTATGTCCATAAATTAATAATGTACTTCACCACAGTGAAAATTTCATATCTTGAATGTTCAATTTTGTTTCCAATTGCAGACATTAATAACTCTTACCAAACATGTAGTGGCCCAAAATTTATTATTTTTACCTATATCATAATGTAATAAATTAGGATACAAACTATATATGTTCAAAATTCTTTGCAACTAATCTTCATTGTGGCGTACTGATGAAGCAATAATTTGAAGACATTATGTAAACAAATTCATTTACGTTTATTCAGTCCGCTCCACAATTCCAATTGATTCAATCGAATATTTAGTTGTTTGAAATATTTTTTCAGATTCATGCAGAAGAATTGACCTTGGGCTATAAATTCATTTACTAGTTTGTAAAAAACCACTTCAACCCAAAATCTTAAGGTGTTAAGTGAGGGCCTTTTAAGGATTTATATTATTCTCTAACACACCTCTTCACGCAAGAGCCCTCTGGGCTTGAAGCGTAGATATTGTACAGGCCCAATTTTTTGTTTACCTTTTGTGCCTTTTTTTATTTAATTCCACAAGTGGGGGGCGGTGAGGATCGAACTCGCGACCTTATGGTCACTCAAGCTCTGATACCATGTAAAAAACCAGTTCAACCCAAAATCTTAAGGTGTTGAGTGAGGACCTTTTTAAGGATTTATATTATTCTCTAACAAGTTTTAATGGAAGTTACATAATTTATATTGAAGGCCGATTGATTTTCCCAGAAATAGTTCTGCCCAATAGAATTCAATTTTCCTGATGCATAAAATATAGAAATCTAAAATCATTAACCAAATAAACAACTAAAAAAGGAATTGTACACTAGTTTCCATATAATCATAAAGACTTATGTTTTATATTGAAGTACTTACTGGAAAATTCATATGAAAATCTCTTAAACACTTTGTCAACCATTGTCTACTGCTGCAAAGTAAGGATATATACAGAGCAGCTTGAGCATTTTAAAATGGATTTGCTGAAGTTGTTAAAGTTAAGCAAAGAAGGAATGAAACCTGTAACACATATTGCACATAAATAATCGATGAGAAGACTGCATCTAGAAGGCAAATACTAGTTCTTGAAACAAAGTGTTTGAGATAAATTGTATGTTTGGCTGCACATTGGTCTCTTATTTATAATAAAAAAAAAATTAATCAAGGAGCAAATCAATAGCTAACTTACAGCATAACCACTAGTTAATTTACAACCATGATCATATTTACAGTTTACCATTAATTTACACACGCGCTAAATCTAACACCAATATTCTACAGCTACTTATCAATGCTCAAATCTGTAAGATGCTTTTGCAAGATACACTTATAGATTCTCATTCTACAGAAATGTACATATCAGAGAACAAATAATGCATAAGCAGAGACAATTAAAGCTACTACTCAATGAAAAGCAATAACATGAATGTCATCGTTATGGGTCTTGGACTCTCACAGTTACCTTGTGATGACAATAGCATTTTAGGCACAGAAGAATCCTGAGTGAGTGTTGGCTGTGTTACTCTTCAACAACTTGCAGAAAATTATGCAACTCATACAAGCTCAAAGGCATGGTAAATTTTTGATACTCTTCTTCTAAATAAGGGTTCCAAACGAAATGATGGAACTCCTGTTTGCCACTTTTTAGCTTCATACATCTCATTCCATGCCTGAACTATTTCATCAATTTTGAATCCTAGACCTGTCAGCAAAAAGTGTTAGTATATATGAATAACTATCCACTCAGCTACAAATTCTCTAACTACGAAAGAAAATGTACCATCAACAGCAGTGTTATTTGAACAGTGGTTCTTCAACATTACAGCTATATCTGTTGGAGAAGCTCCAGCAAGTTCAAACTTCTCGACTGCAACTCCCAGACATTCATGCCACACTGGTAGCCCTAATTTGAATTCCACAATTGAGCGTTCATATAGCATGGTACCCCACAGGAGATTTATTTGAGACCTCATATTTGCAGCCTGTGCAGCAGTTTCATCTGATGACATATTATTAAATAGCCCATCCGACCCCATGTCCGGCAAATTTAATCTAATATCCTTTTGATTGGAGGTTTCACTCAACTGTTGTGCTTGTGATTCTTCCCATATAAGCATACCTTTCTCCATATTATCCTCAGCATCATTGTAAAGCTTAAGAACCTCGGTGGAGGGCCATGTTGCTAAATCTACATCATTACTGAGTGCATAATACCAAGAAAGTTTTGCTTGCTCGAACTGCTGCTGACCTAGTCCCAAGAAGCCTTCATAAAAATCTGACTTAATTTTAATGGCTGAGTCATATTTTTCTCCAGCTTTTGCGTATTCTTTCTGCGCCCATTCATATGAACTTTTGATTTGTTCACATATAAGCTCTTTAGAAGAATCTTCTGTTAAATACACTTTCTTCCTTGCCCTGGACATATGCACATTTCCCCAGTTGAACAATGCTAGAGCTGCCATCTCTTGGAACTGACCTCCTGCCATGTCAAATAGGCCTTGTGCTTCTTCACTTGTAACTGTCTCGTCCACAGCCTCTGAATAGAGCTTCATCCCAAGTTCATGAAAATCTAAATATCTGTCGGATTCAAAACCAACATTGCTCTTGAACAGTTGTGCAAACGGAATTATCCAATCCTCAATGCAAGATGAGCTAATAATTTCCTTTGCTTTCACCACGCAACCATTTTCAGGAGCATTATCAGTGCCAACCTTTTCCCCATCCTTCACATGAAGTTTCTCAAAGAATGGATCCTGATCAGGATTCGCTTCTACTATGTACAGCCGGATAGAACCCTGTGATCCTGTTTCAGCCCACCTTAATTCTTCATCAGAAGTGATCGTGACCAAATCACCTTCCTGGTCCCTATATTTGACAAGAACTGCTCCTAGGGCTGGGAACCGATTACAAATAACTTCTCTTAGCTGAAAGAGGGTGCAATTAACTGGAAATTCAGCCCATCTTATATCCTCACCAAAAACAAGTTTTGCAGATTTCTTAGGTATATCTTCACATCTACCATTACTTTTTTCCTCAATGACCTCCTTAACATCATCCTTCTTCTCATCCAATTTTTCCTTGGCCTTCTTCTTTTTAGATTTGTTAGCTTTCTTCTCTTTCAGACTGTCATCGGCCTTCTTTACTACGGTACTGTCCTCAGCTTTCTCTTCCAATTTCTCCTCCACTTGCTTTTCAACAATTTCATTGGGATCCTTCACCTTCTCTTTCTTGCTCTTCTTCTTCCGAGTCTTTTCTTTCACTACTTCTTTGGGAGGCAAAGCATAGGGAGGCTCAACATAGTCTGGAGGCAACTCAATTTGTGTATCATTTACTCTTAATCCTTTATCTTCAAGTGCAACTTTCACCTTGTCTGAGATCTCCAATGCCATGATATTGTTTGGCTCCATCTTCAAAACAGTACTAACATCTCTCAGTGCTAAATCCAGCCTATTTAAAGCCTCATAGCACCTTGCCCTCTTCATCAGAGCTTTGCTGTATTTCGGTGTCACTTCAAGAGCCAAATCGCATTCATGAATTGCCCTAGGGTACTCACTGAGTCCCATCTGCATGTAGCATGCAGCCATGTTACTCCGCAGATAGGACACATCTACATGATTTTTTGGAAGCAATTTGAGGGCTTTCTCATATTTTACCAAAGCTCCTTCAACATCCCGTTTTTGGAACAGCTTGTTCCCCTCATCCTTCAACTCTTGAGACATGGATATAAACACCACAGTATCATTGTCATATGCTTTGGGGCTTCTATCTCCAACTTTGCTTTGACTAGCACTATCTTCACTCGTTTCACCTCCTTGATTCTTTTTCTTCCCCATTTTGAACCCAACAATAAAGAAACTAACCCAAGATACCACTCCTCCTAGTCCACAACGCTCAGTTCAATCCACTCAAGCACATAAGAAAGGAAGATACTCTTTTTATTTTCATTTTTATTTTTTTCAAATGAATCAATTGCATACACTAGATAACTAATCCAAAGCCAAACACAAGGCCTTCCAAGAAAAAAGACAACTTAGTAGGAAAGAGCTTGAGATAAGCTTATGAACTTAGAAGAACATTCAAAAGCCAAGAAAATGAAGGGAAAGACACAACAGTCAGATTGATAACAAGAACAACATAACCAAGATAACCAACTTTATACATAGAACAGTGGCAGCTATCAAGAAACAAGCTCAAAACCTCAAAGTTGTATTACTGAAGAATCAACTGGGTTCTCCTCTCATCAAAACGTTAAGGTTTCAGGGAATCTGAACACTTTGAACACAAACGCACCCTTCTCTCCAAATCAGGATTTGTTTCTGCGGATACAAATCCCAACTCAGAGAGGGGACAAGGACAACCCAACTCAGATTTGAAGGTGAAGGAAATTCCTTTCTGGTTTTATCAGACAAAGGGATTGAAAAAATAAAGACCCAGAATTTGATATGAAAGAAAAACTTATCTGGGTGACAAATTCTGGGGGAAAGCTTCAAACTTTGGCAGGGAAATCCAGACACCAAGAGAGAGCAAGAATATCTGAAATGTGAGAAATGGAAGAAAACCAAGCCATGGTGTTACGTGGTTCCTTTTGACAAGTAGAAGATTTTCACATCCTTGACGTAAACGCCACAAAAGATGAGAAGAAAAACGAAGAAAAAAATAAATCAGATAATGTTAAATTTGTTATCTGAACAGAGAATCAGCAAATGCAAATTATGGTTGGGTATTCTTCTTTCACTCTTTTTCAATTCTCTAAAATTAAAAAAAAGTAAAAATATTATGGGTCCCATCCCATGGTTTCTATGATGAATTAACGTTTGCTTTTGGACAACCTTAGTGGGAAGTGGCAACCACGTGTTGACCCTGTTTTTTTGAAGGGTCATGTACTCATACATTGGAGTTTTGGTTTCACAAAGCGTATCGTTGTAATTTTCCTTCTTCAATAATTTATTTTTTTATTAATGATTATGGTTTCATTCCCATCTATGTTATGATTATTTCCAGAGAAAAATATAAGGCCATTACGTCATCCAGTGACATTCATTCTTCATTTGTCACATACAAAAGTCGGCAACGGAAAAGAAAAAGGTTAGATACAGTTAGATTATTATTGAAGCATCAATTGTTATTCGATTGAAAAGATTCCAATAGAGGTGTACTCCTTCCTTCGTTAGGACTAACACGTATAAAATATGATATTAGCAATTATTTATTACATGAAGATTTGTGCTTTGTAAATTGTAATGGCAATGCTTCAATGATTCGAGAATTAATTATACAGAGGAAAAGATGTGAAAACAGTTTATGATATTAAAAAGAGCATTGATGGCAAAAATTACTGTAAAAAAATGTAAAGTAAACAACAATATGTTTAAAAAGTAATCAAAAAATTGGAGGACTTTGTACAAAAAATAATAAAATAAGAAGTTCAAGTATTTTTAAATTACTAATAATTATGTCACGTTAGATTTGCTTCTGCTGTTTCATGTGTCTTGCATCATTAAATTTCCCGCTTTTCTTTTCCTTATTCAATATTTATTATCACTCGGACTCATTCCGCGCCACATTCACATAGGTATAACCACTTTCTTTTTTTTGGTATCCAGGTATAACCTTTTATTTAGTATGTCAAAAGGGCAAAGAGAGAGAGAGAGAGAGGATATAACGGAAGGAAAAAAAAAAATGAGAGAAACGAAGAAATTATCATTTATCTTTCCTATTATCATCTAATAAAATAAAATAGAAGTCTTTCCTTCTTTTATTTAGTTTGAACAAGAAGAAAAAAAAGTGCATGTTAATAATATAGGAATAAACAAAAATATAAGTTAGTCACTTTAATTTCACCCCTTTTCATTTTTTTTAATATCAATTGGTGTTGAAAACCTCACAAACTCAACAAATGTGATTTTGGGTTTAGACTTTTTATCCTCTTCAGCTATTCTAATTATTAGGAATTGATCAGACCAAATACAGTACGGACTGGCCGATATGTATTAAGCTCAATCACACATGGTTGAGACTCCTTCAGTTGTTATTGGCCTGGGCCTGGAATTGCTATCGAATCGAGTTTGAGCCTTGTGTCCTTCACGTTGCACCAAATGGAGAGTACCTGCGAAGACACTGCGATACCTAAGTCAGTATCAGAGGCAGGTGTTTGTGTTGTTAATGTAAAGGATGATCGTACCTTGGTGGTATATTGTTTGTTTATATAGTGGTTGAGATGCCGCCTTTGCTGAGGCGGCATGGCTTCTGAGTGGCCAGCCTTGGGCTGCAGGTCAGACAGGGGACCTGTGTAGCCTTATCTTCCATAGTGTCTAATAGTAGAGTTGGGACGAGCTGGAGCTGTCTGTTGATTACTGGAGTTAAGGCGCGGTGGAGTTGCCTTGGGCCTTAAGTTTACTTCCTTTAGAAGGTATAATACGCGATGTGGGTGTCGCGTCTTGTGTGTCGCGATGAGGACATCGCATCTTGTATGCCGCGATAATGGCATCGCGTCTGTGTTTGTTCCTTGTGCTTCGCTCTGAGTCTTCAATGGGCTTGGGCTCCCTTCATGTGTTATTGGGCCTATATTTTATCCGGATCAGGAATCAAATTCATTATTTTTTAGACAAGTCAAAATTCTGATATCTAACTTAATCATCACCGGACCAATAATTATTGGATTTTCTTTTCCATCCTTACAAATTACTAGAGGAGAGCGATAAAACATTATCGACCCTTATATTGCATGCATGGTTTCTTTTTACTTTCATTGATTTCTCCTGCTAAACATGGGATGGTATTGTAATGTCTATTCAGAAGGAAATTTAGTCATATTATTTTTGTTCTATTAAGTTTCCTTCTTTTAGTTGAATTAAAAAACTTTTTTAATTTCATCCACTGTTCATAAAACCGGTCCAACCCGGCTGGGTCGATCTAGGAATCGATAAATCGGTCATATAACCGGTGCAGTTGAAGCAACGGACCGACCATGCATCAGAATCGATCCGACCCGGCCGATTTTCATGAAAATCGGTGACTCCATCAGTTAACCAGTGACCCGGCCCGATCCCAAAACAAAAAATTCCAACTTTTTTTTTTCAAAAAAAAATCATAATTGACATATTTGAATATTCGTTTGCTTATTGACTTATATAAGTTATGTATGTACCTACAACACTAATATTATCTCTCTTTTTTGGTGAGGACACTAATATTATCTCAATTATGCACTATGCAGAAAATTTTGATTTGATTTATAATTAGAGATGTCGTTTTCTGAACCTAAAGTCCCGTATCACGATCATTATACTTTTGTTTGATCCTTTATTGTATAATAATATGTGATTTATTATTTTTTATATTAAAATATTTGAAATTTTTGTCTTTTTTTTAGATATTTGAGTATGTTTATAATTTTTTAATATAAATTATAAAATTGCATATAATTATCGGGTCATGCGGTTGAATCAATGACTCATTGGTTGAACCAGTGACCCAACAACCCAGTATCTCGACCGGGTCAATGACCGAGCCGGTTTTAATAACATTGATTTCATCTATATTTTTAAAACACTCCAAAACATAGAATAAAACTCATATGTTTCGTTTCATTTTAATATTTACATACCTTTTTTCCTTTTTCTTTCTTTGTGTGCATACCAAACTTACCCGTAAATTTATGTAACTTATATTTAAAAATAAATTAAAGGTGAGAGGGAAAAATAAGCACCTTCCACGCTCTTCACTAGCTAGGAAATTAAAACTCTCCGTTAACTATAGATATTAAATATTTGAGGCTTGATATTTTTACTCATTACATGATTTATCAATACAAAATTTGTATAAAACTTTGAGTAAAAGCTTAACATTGTTGACAATTATGTCTGATGAGTTATACAAACTATGAATTTTCCCTAAAGAGTGTTATTGATTAAACTATTTGATTTTATCAGATTGTTAATATAAATAAAAATTATATATAGAAGCCGAATAATATATTTTGCACACTTGACCAAAAAACATGTTGGCATATATCTTAAAGCTTAGCAATTTGTGTACAAATATTATGATAAGAGGACAGTGACCAAAATATCATCTTTTGGCAAAAAATTTACTCAAATGTCATGTGAACAGTATTTTTTACTAAACTGTCACATAAGCATAATTCGCTACGACTGATAGTATATTATGTTCGCCAATAATTTTATGACATGTGGCACACTTTCGCAGGAAAAAGCTGACGTATCATAATTCGCTACCACTGGTAGCGAATTTGGTCTGCAATATGGCCACATGTCACGAAATCATTGGCAACGAAATTCGCTATCAACGGTAGCGAATTATGACGCGTGACAATCTGATAAAAATTACTGTTGGCGTGACATTTAGATAAACAATTTGATAAAATGTGACATTTTGGTCACAAATTCACTTTTCAGAGTCTTAGTCAACGTTTGATATGTATCTTGTGTACTTGATACATAATAGAATTAAAGATAATACACAGTAGTCAACATATTAATGGAAACAACCAACCCCTGCAGTAAATTTGAGAGAAGTTGCCTACCAAAAAAAATTTATATATATTTTGAGAAAAGTTGTGTCATCTCAAACAAATTTGTGAGACTTTAGAAAGGAAGCATTATTGCAATGTATATCCATTCTCCAAGACTTCACATAATCTAATGATCAAGTCCTCTTAATAGACACCATCACCGTCTTAGCTTGGAGAAATTTAAGATGCTCTATTCTGAACTGGCTTTAAATCATTTAAATCTACTTTAATAATTTTACTTTTAATTCAATGATATACATGACTAGACGATTCCATATGTTATGTTTTTAGTAGAACAATATAATATTCTTTGGTTAAGTAAGAATTTACTAAGTTTGGGAGTATAGAATATTATATTCAAATGTATGTGGGGAATTACATTGGCTAGTGATTTGTTAATAATTTTTTTTTTTTTTTTTTGGATAGCTCATCAAGGATGACGATTCAACTTAAGCATCTCCGATACTTTTTATGGCCTTAGGTTTTGCCGTCAGCCAGTCACCAATAAATATAGGGATAAGATATTATATTTATTTATTTTATATTTTTTTATCTATTCTTTTTTTTGATAAATTAACTCAACTCTAATTATTTTTTTGAGTTGAGTTGGTTACTTTTTTACAAGTTTTTACTTTTTGAGCCAACTATGAGACTAATTCAGAGTGCGAAGCGGATCAAGGATGAAGATATTTAAACTCCTCCCAATAGTGATATGTGGAGATCGAACCAAAACTCTTCATTTTCACTTATTCGACTCTCTTGTTACCAACTGAGCTATGATTTTATCTACTCCTTTCTAACATCATTGATTAGAATCTCAAGAGTAGAGAGAAAGAATGAAAATTAGTTGAGATTTTAATCCAATAATATTAAAAATAAATAGATAAAATAAGTATAAAAAAAAGTAAGCAGAATATTTTATCTCATATACATATGAGAGGTAAGATATTCTTACTATTAAATATTTTTTCTATTAATTTACTATCACTTTAATTACCCTTGGATTCCATTTTTTAGTCGACAATCTCTAGAAAGTTTATGAAAAGAAAGAAAGAAAAAGTTTTTAATATAGGGGGAGATTATA